TGCTGAATGATTCAGTCCACTGGAAACGACTTTAATTGAAAACATTCCAAAATATTCTAACCAATAGAAACTAAACTAGTTTTATTAATTATTATTGTCCTAAAAACAATTAAAAGTAAAAAATTAGTTATGTTAAATATTAAAATGTCAAGTCAATGATTCAACCAAAACTATTACATGATTAAAACAGTGACAACAACAATTTTGTTGTAAAGAAAAAATGGAAAGACCAAAATTTAAAAGACTTAAAATTTTGTCATATATGACTTACGGTGAAATTTTGTCACATAATTTTTTAAATTATATATTTTTTTATTTAACTATCAAAATTCTACATATTTGATTAACTTGTTAGTTGATCGTGAACATGAAATATTATTTATTAATGTGACATGTTAAGCTTTAACATGAATTAATGATATCACATTTAAATGATGATATGATGATGTGAAATAATATATTACAATAATAATTAACTAACTACAACAACTAACTAATAATGTCAAATGACATTAAAAAGTGATATAATATACAAAATTTTTAAGATTTGATGTAAAATATGTAATTTAAAAATTAAATAACAAAATTCATGAGATTGTAAGACATGGGGAAAAAAACTTCTATTAAACTTTTGTAAAATGAAATTAGTAAAGATATCAAAAGCAATTGAATCAAATGAGTATTAACCACTTGTCAGAACAACAAATAGAAGTAAAATGAAAAGAAAGGAGTAGAGACAAACTTACTCATGGCCTAAGATGGTTAGAGGATAATGATGATGATGTTCCTTGGTGGTCCTAGGGAAGAGGTTCTCCTAAAGATCTCTGCCACCTGATGGTTCCTTCTCCCTTCATCACCCTTCTTCTCCCCAGATGCCAAGTGTGCTGCCACAAAGCAAAAGCTTGTCCCTTCAATTGACATGCTAACTGCCATTGACCCTTTGTTCCCCAAATACCCCATCACCCCACATGCCACTGAGCACACTCTCACATTTGACACACTATGCTTCCTCAGCACCTCTTCCCTCAGCCACACACTTATGAACACACCAACCATCTTCTTGCTCGCCACTAGCATGTACTTATCATTGTTGTTGTTGTCGTTTGGAATTGGATTCTCCACGTATTGGTTACTGTTGTCATCACATGACATTTGTGATGAAGAATTCAACATTGGTGTCATCATCCATGGACATGCACAGTTGGCATTCAGTGTCTTTCCTATTAGCTGGTTCCAGCTTGTTGCCACTGATGGATCCTCTGCCCCTATCACTGTTAAGGTCTTCAAAGGTACAATTTCTTGAAACCTGAAACAAGATTCCAAAGGGTCTTCATTTTCACTCTCATCAAGGAAAATTCTAATCAAATACAATATTAATTAAGAATATTTAATTTAAACCACATATCTTCTACCAAAATACGAAATGAAATGTTTACTGAGGGTTTTAATTAGGCTAATTTGTGAACTTCCAATAAATAACGGAAAATTTACAAAAAAAATTAAGAACAGGTTATTCAAATTAGAAATTATATGTATACCCCAGAACATATATATCTGCAGCATTCCTGAGATTCAACCACTCATCCAAGTCAACAGCCAAACTTCCTACAGGAGATCTGCCAGCAACATTCCAAGTACCAACAAAGATCCTGAAATATGCACAGAACTATATCCATGTCACAAA